TGCCTGGAACACGTTGGCATCAAAGGGGTTAGGTGGTAGAGGAGGTTGAGTTTGTGGTTGTGGTGGTGGAGGAGGCGATGGTATCGGTGTTTCGTTGATTGGATTACGCCTTGTACTTCTGCGTGGAGGCATCTTTAACTATACGTTTAAAAGATGACGACATGGATAAGAATAAATTATATTTATGAATGTGTCCCATGGACTAACTCCCCATAGTCCAACAACAGAATGAATAGAATAACTAACTGAAAGTGACAACATTTGGATAATAATTTCCATATGATTAGATATCTGTCAATAATACTGGAATTACAGATGTAATAAGTTCGGGAAAAATGGCCTAAAAGTAGGCCTTACATCAACCAAGATGGAAAATTTTGACAGAATAAGACTAGATCAAGACCTAACAGGTCTAAGATTTATACAGATAGGAAATTAGATCAAAGTTTTACATAAACTAGGTTATATCCAAAAGATGAGTCGACGAGCTTCTATCGGCGACGAGAGCTGCTTGCATGAGTCCTCGATCCCGACAGTAGACGTTCAATGTCCTTATACGCCTGTCCGACCTTGCTTGTTGAGCTCGAAGTTCTCTAACTTCTGCTCGGGTTTCAGCAAGTTCCCTTTGCAGATTTGCATTGCGGACCAGAGTCCTTTCATGAGCAGACTCTAGTTGGCGAATGTGGACAGTGTTAACACCAGAGTTGGCGTCAACTTCCGAAACTTGATTTATAGTCGCTTGAGCCATGATCGTGTTTGAGAAATCCTACGCACCATGATTGGTAGTACTCTATCAGCAGAACCTCCTTCAGTGAGGTTGTAGAAACTTCGGTCTCCATTGTAGGGAATGGGTTGACCTTGTTCCTGACTCCATTCAGTCAAGTTAATGGCCCACAAGGGTGTGGGTCCTTGAAACATAGGACGAGGGTTCAGGTTTGGGTTTTGAGCAGCTGGGGTAGGTTGTTGACTTCTGGCTCTGAGTCCGAACTATCGGAAAAGCCCTCAGCATGGTGATCATCCAAAGGAATTGGGTGATCATCTTCTGGTTCTGCCTCTAGCCAACCAGCATTGCCTTGGTTTGGGAAGTACGGATCGCCATGGTGAAATCCAGCCATCTTAATCTACGCAAGAAAAGGGATATAAGAAATAGTTTAAATAGACGAACTAACTATGATAATTACAGTAAGATCAAATACTCATATGGAATTTCTTTATGGTTGTGTTGGTAAGGTTTTAGACTTGTTGCCACATCACAACCATTCTTGGGCATATGCTAATCACTCCTTGGACCAGCATAGTTGATCAGGCTATGCTATTCCCAAGACTGACTATATATCCCCAGGCTCACTTGTGATGTTCAACAATCGTAATACTTTTGTTCTTGTCATTGTGACACTGGTTTTAGTATGAATGTAGGCACGTATACTTTGTTAAATATTTTATTATTTAAAAGTATAACTCTTAGACAGAGTGTTTTAATCCCACGTATTTATAGTTAGTATATCTTTTATGGGTTGATATACTTAATTCACTATAAACAATGCTCTGATACCAATCTGTCACACCCAAAAATCACGAACGGCGGAAACGTTCAGGGGTGGAGGACGTCATGTACAGTATCACAACAGTGTAATATAATAAACAAGCAACAACATCATCCATTGCATTATAAGTAAAGTTTTAATACATGTGTGTTTCTTTCATTGTAGTAAGACACCAAAAATATACAATCAAAATAAAAGACGAGACTTGTCTGCTCCATCTTCTCAAAACCCTGACCTCCGTACCTGTCTACCGATGACCTGAGAATACAAGTTATTTTGAAAGCGAGTATCAGCTTTAAAGCTGGTGAATTCATAAGTATATATAAGTGTCATTGCCTTGTTTTTGAAAATCTGTTATAAAGGCCATGTAAATCGTTAAATGAAAATGTTGATGTACGTATGAAAACCCTAGAAAAACCCTTATTTTATATGAGTATGAAATGTAGTCTTCTACCATGACCCAAATGTTCTGTACGTATGAAGTGTAGTTTTCTACCAAGACCCGAATGTTTTGTAAGTAAAATTATGGTTTTCCTTTAATTGTTTAGTACTAAAGTACTTAGTCTAACTCATCGTTTATGTGAAAGAATCACAAAATAAAGTAAACAGGAAAATGTACTACTGTAAGTGTTGTCACTAGGTACTAGGACCAACACATCATATGTAACTGTTATCCCAAGGTACTAGGGTTAACACAACCTATATAACCTAATGAACATCCGAAGATTGTCCAATTGTCCTCTGTAGCAGCAGCAGGGGGAAGGAAGGGTTAGTCCCTTTAAAGGTACTCCTAATATAAGTAACAACCGTAGGCATCCGTAGATATTCATCACTCAATACTGCTAACAGATGGGTTCCGGAATGGTTAGTCCCGTACGTATATCCCGAGGTACTATGGGATAGAGGCCCATCTAGGTATGTCGAGGTACTGGGGATAGGGTCCTGTCTAGATATCCCGAGGTACTAGGGATATGCAGGAAGATTTAAACAGAAGGTACTAATAAATCATCCTCGCAATTCGAGATACAAGTATTCATGTAAATGTACATAATTAAGTGTATCTACGTGAAGGTACTCATGTAATGCGTTCATGTACGCGTATTCATGTATCATGTAAGTATATGTAAACGTACTCATGTATCATGTAATCAAATGTAAAGGTACTCATGTATCAGGTAATGTACTGGTATAGACTCATGAATGAACTGACTCTTGTGAGATTCCTTGTAATAGGAATTATGTTTGATATCTCCAAATTATCCATATGATAGTTTGTTGGAAGGTAATTGGTTATTCAAGTAGGTTTATACACTCTTACTAATCAAGGGTGTGAGAAACTAAATGAAAACTGTAAACTATAACATTCATACATATATAAGAATATAAGTGTACATGCATAGTTTAGTTCAATAATGTAAAATGGTTTTATAAGACCTCTTATGGGCTTTTGAACAATAATTAACAATGACTTGATGTCATTTATAATATACATTTCAAAGGTAAAACAATTGATAACAATGCGTTTTTAAGATTTAAAACCATTTCATGCATCACATTTTGTAGTATGTGAAATCTGTTAAATGACAAACATTGTTATAAAATACATAACAATGATTTAATAACATGTTTGTTTCTACTTGTATCCCCCCCCCCTTTAAAGCATTTAAAATCATTTAAAACATTGATTAGGGGTATGAACTCACCTGTAGTTGGTGATTGGAATGAAATGAACGGTATCGGATGGCTAGGTGTCAAGCGAGGACTTGTGAACACACTACGATCCTAATGAACATATAATCACACATATATGCACTCAATTAGACAAATTGACTAATTGATAATGTTTAAGACATCCTAGGCATAATAAACACTTTATATAAGTATTTTAAGCCATAAGGATTGCATCTAAGCTATTGTGGGATAGGGTATTTGTGTTTAGGGTTTCCAAAGGACCCCATATGAGAGTTTACTCTCTATAAACCATCACACATGGAGTTTACGGTTGTAAACTCTTGAGTTTACGGCTGTAAACTCCCAAACATGTGTGTTTGGTGTGTTTTGAAGTCCCAAATGCTTTCTAGAATTGTTCTAACTTAGTGGCTAAGTCCTTGGAAGGGTTTAAGGTCTAGAAGTACTCCAATTAGGAGTTTACGGCCTCAAGGCCATTTTCCCTTAGAGTTTACGGCCGTAAACTCTAAGTATGGTGGGTTTTTGTTGTTTTCAAGTCTCTTGCATTTGAAGGATATGTTCTAGGCAATTGTTTAAAGCTAATGAGAACCCTAGGCACACTTTGGTGCCTTTCTTTTGAGTTTACGGCCCAAGAGCATTCTCTTGGCCGTAAACTCACTTTGATGAGTGATTTTTATGTACTTTGGTTCTTCATTTTTGTGGGAAACAATTCCATGAAGGGGTCTAGGGCTTTAGGTGTCTTGAAGACACCCTTTTGTCTATTTCAATGGAGTTTACGGCCTAAGCTTCTCTTGGGCCGTAAACTCACTTTTTTTTGTGTCATTTGATATGTTTAAGACCTTGTTCTACTTGGGGAAATAGTCTAGATACAAGCCTTTAAGTCCTAGTGTCCTCAAAACACCATTTAGTGTTGGAAATGTGGAGTTTACGGCCTAAGAGGGTTCTGGGCCGTAAACTCCCAATCTTGGGTGGATTGTGGCTTGTTTTCTTGTCCCTAACATGCATACATAAACATATAAGGCCTTATCATAACACAAGTATCGGTTTTGGCTTCGTTTCGGGAGTTTACCGCTCAAGAACACCTCGAGGTGTAAACTCCTAGATTTCATGTTTTAGCCTTCTAAAACATGTTATAGACACGTATAAAGCTTTCTAACAATACTATAAAGAGTTACTCACGTTTTGGTATAAAAACCCGAAGATCCGTCAGAGAGAAAATGGCTTTTCTCTAGTCGGAAATGTGAATAATGAATGATTTTGGTTTGGAAATCTATTTATAGTCCTGAGATATTTTGGCAGAAAATATTTTTATTCCCGAAATGATCCCTAGTAAATTAGAGTGTTGGAATAACAGTGTTGCACCAAACCCAAGTGCACCCACTCTCCTGATATTTCCTGAAGTGTAAACCCTGAATTTCTAAAACTTACGCGAAGAGTCTGAAAAATAACTGTGACTGCTACAACTTCTATTGAAGTGATATAGTTTGTACAGAATGGAAATTTCGGGTTGTCACACATATGGGTTATGAAGGATCAATGCCTCCTACCATCAAAAAATTACTACCTCCTTGCTGGAAGTACATGGCTCATGTGTTTGTGAGCTGTATTTCCGGAAGGAGATCAGGTCCGAACGAGATTTTTCTCTTCAACACAGGAGCTATTGCAGCCTTGGCGTCAAGGATTGAGTTCAATTTTTAAAAATTCATTCTTCATGAATTGATTCTTAATATTAAAGTACACAAGAGGGAAATGTTCTTTATGTACCCAATGTTTCTTCATATCATCTTTAATGTCATGCATCCCGAGATCGAAAGAGGAAATGAAACACTGGATCTCAAGTCTGTTGGTCCGATTGCTTTTGGCTTAATGAAACAGAAAAGAGCTGGAAAATTTGCATTCGAAGGAAAGTTTCCTTTGATTAAGTTTGGAATATTTGCTGACGATAGTGATCAATCAGAATCAGAAAATCTTTCTATTCCAGCAGAAACTGAAGATGTTGTGATTTCAATTTCAGAGCTTGAAATGAAGAAGTTCATGTTTCACCTGCAATAACTGTGGCTGAGGAACATGACCTCCTACATGATGTAGATGTTGAAGGAAATTTTGATCGAAAAAGAGGAGATGAGGATTTCAGTGGCGATGATGATTTTTTGAAAGAGCTGGATTTTACTAGGATCAGTGATGATATCCCCTCGAGTATTGAACTTAATCTCGATGATGATGAGTTTGGTCCACTTCCAGGATTCGATAGCAGGTGCTTTAAAAAGGTCAATGAAGTTACTCAACTAGCAACCGAGACTTGGGAAGATGTTAGTGCTCTCAAAATTTTGCTCTCCTCTTCAAAACCTATGGAGGTCTCTTCGAGTCCAAGAGATGTGGATTCAGAGATTCCTCCCTCTGAACCAAATGTCTCTACTTCTGCTCCACTTTTAAGTAAATCGACACAACCCCAAACCTCCCTGTCTCCTTTGAAAAAAAGACAATTAGATCCAAGGCAGGGCGTGTCCACTGTAAGCCAAGCACCACCAGTCTCATCTACTGTTACCACCACTACAGTCTCTACTCCACCAATACCATCAGAAGAAGGCCCGAGCACAATGTATGAAGCAGGTGGTTCATCCTCTATTCCAAAGTATTCTCCTTCAAGGCCCTGACTGGATGAAGCCTCTATCAGGTTGGCCAAGCACCTAGCTCAGAACTGTCCAATTTCTTCCTCCCAGGGAAAATTTATATCTTTCGAGGAAGAAAATTCAGTTGATGATATGACTTAAGTGTCAAAAGTTCGTGAAGAAATTGGCATTCTCAGACAAGAATATATAGAAAAGAACATCTTGCTTGATTAAGACGAGTCTTATGTGACATCCCCAATTTCACGGCCAAAAAAGACTGATTTGTTTATGCTTTGTTTTTTTTTATTTTTTAAATCAGAGTAATCGTTTAAAGAAAATTTTTGCGGAATTTGTCCCCAAAACAAAATATGATAAGAATTTATCAAAGCATTTCTTAAAGAAAAGTATTTTCATTATATAACAAAATCTCAGGATGTCATGTTCCAATACAGACACATAAGCATAAACATAACTTACATTTATTTACACTAGTGATTTACATCTCCTTTAATCTCTAAGTGAAATATGTCTTCGTATTGATACCTGTGATACAAAGATAACTGAGTGGGTCAGGCTTGGGAGCATATAGGGTTTTCAACCCACAATAATATAATTATTATTTTCAACCATCAAACAATCAACCCAATTACCCATCCCCATTATCTTCTTTATTTCTTTAGGTTTTTACCCTAAAAGTTCAACTACCATTGCTGCCTGAGGTTAATCTACATAGTACTAAATCCATAGTTACCATCGTTCATTTGCACCGTACTAAATCCATAGCTACCATGGTTCATGTACATTGTATTAAATCCATAACTACCATCGTTTTATTATGAGGCACTAAATCTATAGCTGCCAGGGTTTTTGAGTACACCGGTGAACATCAAGTCCACAACACCTAGAAGTTGCGAGCTTGCTAGTGTTCCACTGGACTGTCTAGAATAGTCCGTGGTTATCATCCCTATTCTGCTGAATGACGGGGGGCATCGTTTGGGTAAATTTTTCAATCATTTTTCACCTGTCACCCTCATCTCACGATCTATATCATCTTTCGTCTCATCCTCAAACTCATCTTTCATCACACACCAACTATTTCATCTATCCATGTTCTACCCAACATATTTGTAGATATAAATTACATATGTATAATTTAAATTATTTAAAAACCTGTATAAAACATTTGTTCAACATCCATCTCAAGTAAACAAACAACGTATAAACACATAGCACGTATTTCATAGCAAATACTTCATATCTACGCGGTAGAAGAAAGTAACTATACACTCACACATATAAAAAACAATATATATACACATAACACGTATTTTATAAAATACTTCATATCTATGTTTAAGAAGAAAGTGACTATACACTCACTTGATCAGAAGATGATCGGACAACACTACCACTTGTAGAAGTAGTATTCTTGGGTAGGTATGGAAGATCTTCACAAAAACCGGGCTCCTCACGGGTAGGGCTTCGGCTCGGGAATCTCACTTCTTGGGATATTCGGGACCTCAGAACTTCCTTCGGGGCTCGGGAATGATATCGGGGCTTCGGGATATAATTGGCATGCAAATCGAGGTAAAACCTAGAGAGAAAGGAAGAAAAAATGGCAAAAGAATCGGCATATCTTGGTTTCTATTTATAGGCTACTAGGTCTAGGATTACGCTGGGCGTACATAGAGTACGATGGGCGTAATCTTCGGATAAGCTTTGGTATGTGTGCCACGATTTTCAAAAATTCATAACTTTCGCATACGAACTTTGTTTTTGACGTTCTTTATATCCACGCGTAGGTGAGATTATGCTCTATAACTTTCATTTAGACTCCGTTGGCTAATTTTGAATTTATTTTTATTATATTATTTTTAGTAGGTCGGGAAAGAAAAACTTCGTTATAAATTCACAACTTCTTCATCTAACGTCCGTTTTCAGCTGTCTTTTTTACTGTTGGACTACTATCAACAAGATCTTCAATTCTCGTTTAGATTGTTTTGGCTAAAAACCGCTCGATCTCAAATCGAGTATTTAGGCTGCATATCGCTAAGTCGAAACATAGAAAAATCATAACTTCCTCATACGAAGTCAGATTTGGACGTTCTTTTTATGCACGCTCATGCTTTAACGAATTCTACGACTTTTGTTTAGATTGCGAAGGCTAAATATCAATCTAACGTAAATTCACTTTTTACGTCATTTAGCGTCATGCCGGTTCTGTTGCGAAACTTCGACGTGTCATAAATTTTTCGTTATAACTCGGATTTCAGCATTCTTTATATGCACGGAAACATTGTGACATATACTACAACTTAGTTAAGATTATTCATTCTAAATAGTATTCTATCAAAAAGTTGTTTTTGATGCTTATCGTCTCTAAATTGACTAGTCCTAATCTACGGGCGTTACATCTTATATTTTTGAGCTCCGAGAAAGACATGAACTGAAGACGAAACAGATTACGGATCTGCAGAAAAATCTTGGTTCTTTAACTTCTTTTTTATTATGGGTTAAAGAATATCTTGTATGATGCTTTTGGTGACAAAGTCAAAGCTTTGTTTCATAAGCCTCACGGAATCGTAGATCCTCCCGTGGCTCCCACCCAATCCACAGAAGGCGATTTTCTAGTTGATCCACCTCCTCCAAGGGCAACTATTGTTGTTAATCAGTTTGATAAAGAACCTGAAAACAGCAGATCTCACATCACGATCAAACAAGGGAAAAGGACTGTCTTTGCCAGCAAAAGTGAAGGATTACGTTTCATGAAAAACACGAATGAAAATCACAAAGCTAAAGATCGTATGTTGACTATGACGGAACTTAAAAAGAGAAAAATTTGTGACGAGTATGGAGATCAATCCAGAATCAGAATGTGGGCTTTTGATCCCAAGTCAAACATGTGGGTCGTAAAAAGGAACTCTGGAGTCCCAGAGTATTACAAAAGTGTTCATGATTTCAACTCGTGGACAAAAGTTGATCTTGGTGAACTTTCAAGAGCCCCATTTCATAATCCTTCAAATTTTAAAAGATTTCTTGACAGGAAGGTTAAGGAAAACTTCCGAAAGATGAAGACTGCGAAAGCCCTATATAGAAAGGATAAGGATATTATTGATCCTGAATCAGGCCAACCCATGAAGATTATACTATAGCCAGCAACGAAACAACTAAAGGAAATTCCTATCCCTCAACATTTTCATGAGGGATACCTTGACAATATATAATTCTGGGCATTTGATGATGAAACTACCACTGCTGCCATAAAATTCAAGGATATAGAACAAGTTCTAAGGTTGATTAGTGCTAAGGATCTTCTCAGATTTATAGAAAGGGATATCCATACTCTATCTCATCACCAAATCATTTGCCGAAAAGATGTCATGGAGGCTGCTGCAAAAGAATTTACTGGAATGGTCTCCACAATCATAAATGGGAAACTTTGGATGGGATCCATGGGAAAGTCTGATCCGAAGCTGTTTAAGAAAACCGGAGAATGAAGACCAAGTCTATGCTAGCCTCAAACCAAGGGGGAGATTGAAAGGCTATACTTTTTTTTATTTGGGCTAGGTATTCTTTTTTATAGATATTGGTAGGTTGATGGTGTATGGTGTGCTAGTATTTGTTAGATAAGTTTGAATGTATGTGTGCAGCTACACACGTGTGTGCGGCCGTACACGCCGTGTGCAGCCGCACATGTGTGTGCGGCTGCACACTAGTGTGCGTCTATGGTTAGTATAAAAGAGCTGTGTCTTTGTGTTAGAAAAGTGATGTCTCTATGTGTGTGTTTTCAAGGTGTACTTGAGATTTACGATTAATAGATGTGTGCATGCTTGATGTTATTCTTTTTCTACTCCTTCTACACCTTACACTCTACTTGATTGCTGATATTTTATTGATTACTGATTTCTATCCATCAGATTTGGGATTTACATTCAATAAGGATTTCAAGTCAAAATTAGTACTAGAAATAGATTGAGTATTCTCATAGATTCTCTAGACATTTGCATTCTCGCACTAACAACTTGACTAGAGACACCACCTCACTAAATTAGTCAATAAAGAGAACTTCGAGAAGGGATCAGACAAAGGGTACGAAGCTAGTGGGATGCCAGAGGACACCAAAAGGACATAAGTGGACATCAGATTTCTTTCGTCAGCAGTAGGATACTGAACAAAGGACACCACTCACGATTCATGCGAGGTGGCAGAAAACCATACGCGTCACATTAATAATTAAGAGCCCAATACGACCTAGTGAGTTGGTGAATACAATACTAAAATTCTATAGTAGGCTTAAAGTCTTTATAATTACATCTTAAATATCAATGGTATTGACAGTTGGATTGGTTCCCGACAATCCTTGTCCAAATACTTTCATTCTTCTATCATTAGAACCCTATGCCATTCATACTATCTCTTGTTGTTGAACTATGGCGATTTAGTTCATAGGACACACTCATTTTCTATACTATTGAATTCTTATCATTTTCTAATTATTTTCAACTTATAGTTGAAAGATGCCTCCTAGAAGAAATCCAAGATGTAATGTGACATCCTCAAAATCACGGCCAGGAATGACCGGTTTTGTTTATACTTTATTTCAAAATCAGAGTAACCTTTTAATAAACGAGTTGCGAAATTTTCCCTAAAACAATAATATGATAAAGATTTATTAGAACCATTTCCTTACTACAGTACATAAGTATAAAAAATACAATATAAGCCTTACGACATTATTTCATATCTACAGGCCTATATCTGTAATCCCCCATCCCAACACATCACAACTATGCTCGAGTGCCACTACCTGTAATACATAAAACTAAGTGGGTCAGGTTTGGCAGCCTGGTGAGCACATAGGGTATTCAACCCACAATAAATAAGTTTATTAATTTCAACAACAACAATAACCCGATTACCCGTTCCCGTTATCCTCAGATTACGTCCTTAAAACACATATCATAAGGGACCTACACTAAGGATCAACATCAGGATGGACACTACTGCCAAGGGGTTTCCTTAGCAATAAATGTCCTAATGCAACTATGTGGGGGATGGAGTACACCAGTGAACACATCGTTCACAAACACCTATAGGTTGCGAGCCTCCAAGTGTTCCACTGGAGTGTCTAAATGAGTCCGTGGTCGTCATCCATACTCCGCTAGATGACAGAATCAACAACAAAAACATTGAGGCCTCTCATCATTTTATCACACATCACCTATTACATCTACCCATGTTTTACCCCAACATTTTCGTAGATATAAAATACATATACAGTTTAAATCATTGAAAACATGTATAAAAATCTTTAATCAGCATAGACATCAAGTATTCAGACAATATGCACACATAGCACGTAGTTTATATTAAATACTTCATATCTATGTGTAAGATGAAAGTAACCATGCACTCATCAGAAAGGTGGTGACTCAGCACTCAGACAACGCTTAGATACTCTCAAAACAATTTTACTTTGATGAAACCTAGTATCAATACCACTAGGGATCAGTCTAACGTCAACCGAGACTAATTAATAGTCTATCTATTATTATTATATAGGCGTTAGATAACACTCAATATAACTCATAATAGTAGGCCAAATAATTATTTTAAGGACCTAATAACGTTACTATAATTATTTGAAAGTTATATTAAAAATTGTGTAAGCGTAGCTTACTTAGAACGGATTTTAAAGAAAACCGGGCTTTGGTCGGAGCAGCGTTTCCGTAACTGAAAGACCCTTTTTCTCGGGACTCCGGGAGCCTCGGGGCTTCCTTCGGGTGCTATGGGATCACCTAGGCTTAAGGGAGCGTTAAAACCCTTAGAGAGAGAAATTAATTTAGAGAGAGAAAGAGAATGGTGTGGAAAACTTGGATCCCTTCGCAGCATTTTATAGGCGGTCAACAGCTCGGACTACGCTGCATGTCCAACAGCTACGTTGGGCGTAGTCTCCGATAAGCCTTCAGCTTGGATCCAGCTGGCTCGCACCTTGGAATGGATAAGAACCGAAGGTACGCAGGGCGTACCGAACCTCGTACGTGAGGCGTAACACCAAGTGACGCATCCACCTCCAATGCAACCATCCGATCAGCGATGGACGGACCAGATCGCGCCACGTTATTGGATTTGCAATAGGTCTCGCAAATTCACCTTCCAACTTTAAAAAATCATATCTTTCTCATACGAGCTCCGTTTTTGACATTCTTTATATCCACGCGTAGGCGGGAACGTACTCTACAACTTTCGTTTAGACTTCGTTGGCTAACTTGGACTTTATTTTAAAAGTTATATTATTAACAGGACTGAACAAGATTGGTCCGTTAAATTCTCATAACTTCTTCATCCCACGTCTATTTTCGCACATCTTTTTCTCGTTACGCTACTCTTAAAGACATCTTCGATTCTCGTTTAGGTCGTGTCAGCTAAAAACCGCTCGATATATTATTCGAATTTCGGGCTGTACACTACTAATCCGAAACTCCGAAAATCATAACTTCTTCATACGAAGTCAGATTTGGGCGTTCTTTCTATCGACGTTCTTAGTTTAACATAATATACGACTTTCATTTAGACTGCTAAGGCTAAAATTCGCTCTGTCGTAGCTTCACTATTTACGCTTTCTGGTATTGTGTCGGTTCCATCGAGAAACTTCAACGGGTCATAACTTCTTCGTTATAAGTCAGATTTCGGCATTCTTTATATCCCCAGAATCCTTGTTTCGACCACTACAAATTTATGTAGAGCTACCAGGCTTATCTTACACTTCCATTTTGATGCTTATTTTTATTCTTTATTTATTAAACATTTATAAATACATAATAAGCGTAAAAATTCACATAATTCATATAATACTCAAATATTTCATCTTTATTACTTCAAAATGAGTTACAATAGTTGACCTAGACTATTACATTGTCAAAAATGCTTAGGCATGGAACCCGGGTGTTACATGTCTCTCACCTTTAGAATGATTTTGTCCCGGAATCATGCAACAGCAAATAGATCTGGATAGCGACTCATTATGTCACTCTTTGTTTCCCAATTGAGATCCCACCCAATCGAATGTTTCCATCGGACTAGCATTAAGTCGACCATCTTGTGTCGTAACTTCTTAGTCTTATGGTCAACAATTGCCTCAGGCTCTTCGATCAGCCTCTTATTCTCATCCATCCTTAATTCTGAGATTGGAATTATGTCGGGAACTTCTCCCATGAATTTCCTCAGATAACATACGTGGAAGGTGTTATGAATACCATTGAGTTCTTTGGGCAATTCCAGCTTGTAAGCTTGGTTCCCAATCTTCTAAAGAACTTTGAATTACCCAATAAACCTTGGACTCATCTTCCCTCGTTTCCTGAACCTTATAAGTCCCTCCATGGTGAGACTTTAAGCAAAACCGAATCCCCAACTTTGAAGGTCATTGGTCGCCTTTTCTTGTCAGCATAGCTCTTTTGATGATACTGATCTGCTAACATTCTTTCTCTTATTAATTTCAGCTTCTCAGTAGTGTCATGGACAATATCGGGGCCCATCAACTGGTTTTCTCCAGCCTCAAGCCAACAAGATGGTGTACGACATTTCTGTCCATACAAAGCTTGATAGGGTGCCATCTTGATGCTCGAGTGGAAACTGTTGTTGTAGGAAAATTCTACCAAAGGTAAGTGTCTATCCCACCTACCTTGGAAATCAATGGTACACACTCTCAGCATACCCTCAAGTGTTTGAATCGTTCTCTCGCTCTAACCTTCAATCTGCGGATGGTAAGCTGTAGTCAAACACAATTTTGTACCAAGTTCCTGTTGTAGGCTCTTCCAAAATGTCGATGTGAAACGATTGTCCCGATTTGATACAATCGTTAGAGGTACACATGGAAGTCTTAGAATTTCCTTCACGTAAGCATTTGTGAGCTTATCCATAGACCACCTTTCGTTGGCAACTATGAAGTGTGCACCCTTAGTGAACCGATCCACAACCACCCAAATCATGTCGTGACCGTTCTTTGTCCTGGGTAGTTTAGTCACAAGATCCATCGTGATGTCTTCCCATTTACCCACGAGTACAGGTAATGGTTATACACTCCCATAGGGTTTATGATGTTGTGCCTTGACTCTCGTACAAGTAACATACTCGACTACATACTTCGCAACAT